GGCATAAGTAATACAACAATGCATGCATATGAAGAAAAAATAATGCAATAGATAACTCATTGCTTTTCTTTCCAATATATTATCAATTAGTGAGACATTTATGTAATTATAATATACTTAATTTTGAGCTTGAATCGTTAAAATCTACATGTACTCGTTTATACCTGAATACAAACAAAAAAAGAAATCTACAAATATTAAAATTCTTACCTATTCATTCTCTTCCCTATCTTCTTCCTCTACCCAATTCCTCCTGCATGCCTCGATCCCAGACTCAATTCCAGGACCATATATAAAAAAAATTAACAGCTGAAATGAGGAATGGCCTTGGGTTAACAGGGAAATAAAATTAAATGGCAAGTAAATGCACTTTTACTTAAATGTCCTTAGCCTAATCAACTGCATGCTCAGTTTAGTGAAAAAATCTGAAAATTTTCTTACCCTACTACAGTGTTTTTAATATATGACAAATAATTGAATTTAAAACTTTAGGAAAAATGCAAATCAACATTAATTCAATAACTTCACACCTTTACAAATTAGTATATACTTCTATATACCAATTTGCTCCAATTGATGAGTAAAATACAATAGATCTTTGGTGATTTTTGTGAAAGTTGGAATTTCGGGGTATAATTTTAGTTTAAAAAATTTTGAGATTTTACTTGAAATTTTTGGGTATTACAATATCCTCCATTACCTAATTTCAAGTACTTTTTACACCAAATATGTTCTCTACTAGACTTTTTTCATCTTTAAAACAAACAAATGTGTTTAATTTATTATTTCATGAATAAAATATCTTTCTAGTAGATATGATACATTGAGCCTTTCCAATAAAGGATGTCATTTTGGATGCTTCATATACATCATTGTGTAAAAGCTCTAAAATTGAGTTTTAGCTCCCTTCTAGTTTCTAAGAAATTGACATTTTCTTCTTTACAAAAAAAAAAATGCAATCCAACAATCAAACAAAATGCAAATACTTGAACTTAAAATTTTGTTTTTAAAATATCAAATTCTAATACATTTCTCATTCACATGCCTCAATATTGGAGACCATAGTCACTCTTATTGTTCTAGTGATTGAAATCATATATAATATGACATTCATGTTACCACATGTCATCAAAATATCAACCTTATTACCATCCAGGTGTTCGTAATAAAGATCGTTAAATTCTTCTTCATCAAATTATCACATTGAGATCATATTCCACTTCCAACCTAGCAATTAGTATTAAACATGACATTTCTAATGTTTGGAAATTCATTAATCTTAGGATGGTGGAAGCTACTTCTACAGTAAATAATATCATTGAATTCATTCTAATTACAAGTCCATTGAATTCAGTTGATATCAAATTTGATAATGAAGCTTTGCCTTGAGCATGCTACCATCATTTATTGGGAGTTGGTGTGATTGTCATTGCTTTCAGCAACAATTATGGGTCTACAAAACAGATATTCAATATTTAATCTTTTTTTAGGATATTAAGAGAAGAAAATCCAATAAAAGGCTGTTTTCAAGATTTGAATCTTAAAAGAAATGGAACTGCAATAATGGTGTACAACTGAGAGAGGTCCAAGTCTTAAGGAAGAAGTCAACAAAGCAATTGAAAGTGAAGTTATTATAAAATTCATGATGGTGCATGCCGGTCATGCGGTAAAATGTGGCTTATAAAATAAGGCTATCAATAGAAGCAATGCGGGCAAAATTCGAGTCAGGAAGAAATGTGAATTTCTTTTTTTGACAAAAAAGGAATTCTTGCTTTGTTAATCCTTAAGACTTCATAGTCTTATGAAAATTTGGATATTAGACTTAGGTATGTTGATGCGAACATCGGTACGAAAATTTGGCGCATCTATCACAGGAGGCGTCGTAAATCGACGGCCATAATTTAAACCTTCAATTATGATTTATTTTTATGAATTTTAGTTCTTAATTAATGTATTTCCTGTTTTACCCCTAGGATAGTTTATGTAAGTGTTATGGCCCAATGGGCAATTTTGTAATTTTTTATTTTTCTCATGTTGTGGCCTATATATAGGCCCTTTAGCTATTGAAATGGGGATGAAGATTTGATATTAAAAAAATTTGTGTCCGCACTTGTGTTCTTCTTGTGAGAGAGCGTTGGTGAGATTCCTATGGGAAGGAATCGGAGTTTCACCAGCCGCAGGATGGGTCCGGGCTCGTGAATTGAAGTCCCTTGGAGAAGGGCAAAGCATCACCCTTCAGTGTTCGGAAGAGTCCGAGTCTCGCGGTTTTTATCGTCTATCGTTTATTTTCTCTCTTTTGTTTTTTATCTCTTGCTTTTTGTTCCTCCTTATTGTTCTAGTCGTCTTCATCCTCCACCCTCACCGTCGGATCTCACCCCATCCTTCCTCTCCAAGCCCACGGCCAACTCCCTCACCCGCCGGCCACCTCCCCCATCCAACCCGTGAATCTCCCCCCCCCCTTCCTAATTTGGGTTGGCAAAATTGAGAGGGAAAATCCATGACAATTTTGATTTTCAAATTTCAAATTTGAAATATTTCCTAATTGGGGTTGATCCATATTTGGAAGGTTTTAACTCTCCAATTCAAAATTCAAATTTGAATTGCAAGGAGATGAGTCATTAATCCCTCCAAATTAAATTAGACCCATCCAACCTCCACCGTCTCCACATGACATTCATTCCTTCCTAAATTAGATTGCATAAATTTGGTAACTATTATTTGAATTAATTCAAATCAATTTGAATTTCAAATAGTTACTATATTTATATGTCTTATTTTATGAAACCTTTTGAATTAATTCTTATTTGAATTTTAAATCAAGAGAGGATCAAATATTTATTTCCTATCTTGACTTATTAATTAAGTAAGTATTAATGGACCCATTAATTTCCCCCCAGCACATATATGCCGCCAGCCCCTCCTCAAATAAATCATAGAAATTTATTTCCAAATCCATATTCCCCACTTAGGAAGTACTCACTATCCCCTCATCTAAATCTGGCCGAAATTTCCTCTGGTCCGTTTTCTGACTCTTCCACCCATATCTCTAATTAATTCCTATTTCACCTCTTCAATCCCGTAACTCTCACCTAGCTGAAATTGTGTTTTACTTGATTTATTCCAAAAGGGAAACCCCTTGGTTGGAAACAAACCCCATCAGTTACTCCTCTCCAAAGCAGCCGCTCCTCCCTCTTTCTTACCCACGTGTCTCAGCCAATAATTTTCTCTGTTGGCCGAATTTCTCTCCAGCCCTTAGCTTGATTTTTCGTCCCAAGCTCCATCCCCATTATCAGAAAACCTGAAACTCATTTCAGGTTTGATTAGGACTTGGAATTTTGGAGAAGAAATACAATCCCGAGCAAATCCTCCTACCCGTTCTACATCATATGTCTTTTCACTTGACTTCACACTTATCTCTAATTGTTTTGAAGGAAGTTATTTGAAAGTATATCTTGATGAGGTTCAAATCAAAATTACAAATAGGACTACATGGAAGCTTCATAACGTGAGGCAAACTTTCACCACACCAATTATTGTCTTTATGTGCAGCATGTTCAAAACAAATTACTAATAAGTGTTAGCGCCCAACTACATGCATATCTATCCAAAAGATCTCAATCTTCTTGGGTTATGGTTATCGACTTCATCCTGAAACAAATATTCATCAATCTACAAAAAAAAAAAAAAATCATCAATCTACATTTTTCACTATCTAAAATATTTCCCATTGAACTTATTGATATTTACCTTTCCATCATCATACAAGCTATTTGAAAATTTGATCATTAAAAAATCCCGATAACAAGTTAGAATAAAGTAGAGAAAACAAATACATCATAAAAAAAATTTGTGTTTCAATATGATTATCCCACCTATATCTTCAATGGTATAGAGATATATTTCTACTAATTTAGTGAGGAGAGCATCAAACTCACTTTATTCTCTCTCTACTCTCTATTCATATACTAAGTTTAAGAAAACTCCAAGTTTTGATAACCATAGCCAGAATAACTTCCTTGAAAACTCCCATCCACTTATCTCTATCATCCACTATCAATCATTGTCCTCAACCTCAAGTCACCGTCCTCAAATAGGACAATTGTCAATCTCCTACATTCTGTCACTATCCAAGAAGGGATTTTTGTTACCAACTTGCAAGAGTTCACAGTTGATCTTCAACGATGCTTGCTATTGGCCTATACACAAAACTCATAGCTAGTTCCGGGAAGACTTGCAAGTTGTTGGCATATAGTTTCCAATCTCTACATGTGTTGGTTCCTCACATCCAACAACCAGTCACCCACAAGTCTTGGCCATCAATTACCTCTAGTGACCGTACAGAACCCATCAGAATCTCACATGAACAAATAAGTTCGAATTCTCTATTTTTGTTATTTACCAATTACTTTAAATGGCGACCTCTTTGCAGCAACATAAGTCGATATGTTTTCAACACTATATATCCAAATCATGTAACATAAAAAAAAGTGACGTTGGCCAACTATTTTCTTGTGCACCTTGTTTCTCTTATATATAGATGCCATATAAAATAATGTGTGGATTTAATGGAAGCATTGCTCATAAAGCACAGTGTACACAAGTTAGTTCACCAAGACTGAAAGACCTATAAAGTCATCCGTCATAATAAAACTCCAATTTGAATGCTCAGAGGACGAACTCAATAGATGACAAGTGCTAAGACCTTCTGCCACGTTAATAGAATCAAAATCATATCGTTTACAAGTCATAACAAACAAAAGGCCAAAAGCATATCTTGAGTTTGGATAAGAACTTAGGCTTCGTTTGGGACGGCTTTTTTATTGCTTTCTAAAACTCCGTTTTAGTACAAATTTTTTTAATTTTGTACTAAAACTCCGTTTTAGAAAGCAATAAAAAATCCGTCCCAAAGGAAGCCTTAAGCTCAATAAAACAGCATAATGGCATAATAGTATAAACAAGGGCAAAAGTTCAAAATGGAACTCGACAGAATATTAAGATACCTCATTAACATCAAAATAGAGTACACTCATTCTGAACGCAAGGCTTCTGGTGGCTAGACACCGTGCAGAGGCAGATCGCCCAATGATTCCTAGCACAAGACCACGACAACGCCGCATACCCCGGCACAGCGGCTGGATAGATCCGAACCAACCCGACGCCGCGGAGGATGATGAGGAGTACCGCGAAAGAAGGTTAGTACGGCGAAGAAGCGCGAGGAACAGCGCCATGATGGTGTCCGCGATTTCCTCAGCGCGATTGACATCGACGTGAACCAGGCGGAGGCCGAGATCGGCGGCAAGGGCAGAGTCGACTGCACGATCGGAAGAGCCAAGGCAGAGAATAAGCTGCCAGGGCTGGAGTCGACGTTGAGCAGCGCGGGGAAGGAATGCGAGGGAATGGAGGAGGACGGCAACAGCAGTTTCGATCCGTCCGTCAGCGAGGTGAGATAGGCCGACGTGCTCAACGGAAGCGACGCCAGCGAGAGCTTCCACTTCGAAGGAAGTGTCCTCGATGCAGTTGAGGGAAACGACTAGAGGGAGTGAGGAGGCCATATGGGCCTGATCAGGCTATTAGGTTTTGGTTTGCTACTCCGGGTCCTATCGGCTATGTGGACTGTGGAGTTTGAGAGGACGATGAGAATCGGCGCAGGGCGAAAATGGGGAAAATTGCCAGCGTCGGGCGGGCAGCCCGCTGCTTCTTCCTATTATGACCGGATCCATTTCCCGAAAAACTTCGTTGTTGAAGTAAAGTAAAGAACCGAACAGGCTTCTCTTTGCACTAAGGGATGATTTTTTTTATTTATTTTTTATTTATTTTAAATAACTTTTTTAAAAACAGGACAATTTTATTATAATTTTTTTTAGTGATGGAAGAAATTTTGAGTGATGTTGTAGATTATTTAATATGTATTAAATTAGATTTTATTTAGGACGGCTTTTTACGCTTTTTAAAATAGTTTTTCAGGACAAATTTTTTAAATAGTAATAAAAAAGTCGTCCCAAATTAAGCTTTAATGTGGATTTTGTTAAGGAAATACATTCTGATGTAACCTTTATTAAGCTCTTATTTATTGTTATACCATTTACCTTTTCTATATATTTGCTTCTGTACGCAACTCTAAGGTCAATATAATATCATTTCTACCTTTTTCCTCTGTCTCTGTTGCTCTGTCACGGTTCTTGCCCGTGAGCTCTACCTTCTTGTATTCTCGTTCTGTCCTGGTATCAGAGCGTAATGGGAGATCAAGATTCATCTTCCTCCCTCCCCACTCCCTCCTCCACCCTAGCCGGAAACATCACCACCGACCTTGTCATTCCTCCTCCTCTCAAGTTCCTTATATCTAACATCAAGAATCTTATTCCCCATCCCTTAACCTTAGACAACTACGCGATATGGCGGATCCAAGTGCTTCAATAAGTCTCCGCCAACAACTATGCCGGTCATCTCACCGGCTCCACACCAAAGCCGTCGAACAGTGACTCACCGGATGCCGCCGCCTGGGATCTTGTTGACAGCAATCTCATCTCAGCCCTCTTCGCTACAATATCGCAGTCCATTCTTCCCTACGTCATCAATGCCACCACCGCCCATGAAGTTTGGGCAACGCTCGAACGCCGTCTTCAACCAGTTAGTCGCTCAAGAGTCATTCAACTCAAGAACGAACTACATAATATTCAACTCAAGAACCAGTCTATGCAACAATATCTCACTCAAGTCAAGCAGATTGTCGACAATATCGCCGCATCTGGATCCACGATGGATTCAGAAGACATTGTACATCACATACTCAATGGCCTCCCGGCCACTTACAATTCTTTTAAGACTTTCGTTCGGAATTCCCCCCTTCCCGCCGACCTGGACTCTCTTTATTCTCAGTTGTGCAGTGAAGAGATCCACATCACTCAAGAGAATCTCAAAACTCCAACCAGTGATCAATCAGCGTTCTACTCCATGATGAAATCTCAGCAACCCGATCGGACCCAAAAGAGGTATAGCAAGAACAAGACCGGTAACCCCTACTCTCAATCTTCTAAACCCGCTCCTTCGACTGCCCCCGTCAGGCCACATCGCGATAAACTGCTGGCACCGCTGTAACTTTAAATATGCTCCTATAATTCCTTATCAACCGAGAGCGCTGCTAGCACAACCTACGACCTATCCAAGTCAAGATTGGATCCTCGACACCAGGGCAACCACGCACCTTACGCCGGACATCAATCAACTCCAGCATCCAACCGTCTACCATGGTCAAGAATCTGTATCTGTGGCAAACGGTTCTTCTCTGCCGATTCAACATTCTGGTCAAGGACTTCTTCCCTTGCCAGATACACCTCGTAAGCTTCGCTTAAGTAAACTTCTTCATGTGCCTTCTCTAACTCATAACCTTCTATCGGTATCTAAACTTACTGCTGATAATTTTATTTCAATCACTTTTGATGCTAACGGGTTTGAAATAAAGGACTCTCAGGATCATCAATTGCTGCTTCGTGGCCATCTTCATAACGGCTTGTATCATCTCCACAATCCGCCGGATGTCAAACCTGCTGCTCTTCACACTGCGCCCAACATGACGTCCCTGTGGCATGCCCATCTAGGACATCCAAATAGCAGGCGTCTATCTAGCATTGCAAAAACTTTGTCTATTTCTTTTCCGTCTTCTAGCAATTTTCTTTGTAAATCTTGTAACGTGGCCAAAAGCCACAAGCTCAAGTTTAATAAAAGAACTTCGGCGACTACCTCGTCGTTCGAAATAATTCATTCGGACGTATGGGGTCCGGCGCCGGAACAATCGCTCAACGGTTTTCGTTATTACGTTATTTTTACGGATGATTTCACTCGTTTTTCGTGGATATATTTTATGCATACTAAGCAGGAGACCTTCTCCAACTTTAAGACTTTATGCAGCTACATTCACACACAATTTAACAAAACCCCGAAAACGCTTCAAACCGACGGCGGAGGAGAATATATGAGTGCAGCTTTCAAATCTTATCTTCAAGAACATGGGATTCAACATCACGTCAGCTGTCCGCACACTCCCGAACAAAACGGCATTGCTGAACGCAAGCACCGTCATGTTCTTAAACTGACCCGGGCTATTCTCCATGCCTCCAACCTCCCCGCGAAATTTTGGTCGGATGCTATCGGTACCTCCATACACCTAATCAATCGCTTACCTCGCAAAAACTATCCGCACCTCTCTCCCTACCAACTTCTCTACAATAAAGAACCAAACTATAGCTATCTTCGCGTGTTTGGGTGTCTTTGTTATCCCTGGCTTCGCCCCAATGCTGCTCACAAACTAGCTCCTCGATCTCAAGAATGTATCTTTCTTGGGTATTCCTCCCAGCACAAAGGTTATAAGTGCTATAATCTCCATACCCATAAAACTATTATGTCTCGTCATGTTGTGTTCTGGGAACAAGAATTCCCTTATCACACCTCTGCTCATTCTCTTGACACCACTTCACCACCTTACATACCGCCTTCTATTCTCGTCCCCACTTCTCTCGTTCAGCGGACCAACTCTCAAGCCTCTACCAAATCTACTCCTCTCAGCAGAAATCCGGCACCCTTAGCTGATATTCCGCAAGCGATCCCTGTTTCTACCACAACCACATCTCGGACCACTCCTACTCCTCCAACGGTTCCTGCTCGTCCACATCATTCTATGCAAACTCGATCCAAATCTGGGATCATCAAACCCAACCCTCTCTACTCTCTGTACAGCAACCAAAATCTGTCTCATACGCCAGAAAACTATAATCAAGCTCGTCATATTCCCCACTGGCAAGAAGCTATGAAGACTGAATTTCAAGCTTTACAACAACAAAAGACTTGGTCTCTTGTACCTGCTCCTCCGGGCAAACACATATTAGGCTGTAAATGGACATTCAAGACTAAAATTCTGCCCTCAGGACAGGTAGATCGTTACAAGGCGAGGCTAGTCGCCTTAGGCTACAACCAAAAGCAAGGAGAAAACTACAATGAAACGTTTAGCCCGGTAGCAAAAATGACCACCATTCGGGTACTTCTCACGGTGGCTCTAAATCAAAACTGGAAAATTCTCCAACTAGACGTGTCAAATGCATTCTTACACGGAGACCTTCCGGAAGACATATTCATGCGTCAGCCTCAAGGTTTCGTCGATCCACAATTTCCTAACTCAGTGTGCAAGCTCCACAAGTCTCTTTATGGCCTTAAACAGGCCCCTCGGCAATGGTTTCAAAAGCTCACTGACTTTTTACAATCCAGAGGATTCCGGTTCAGTCGTTCTGACCCTTCTTTACTTTTATTTTCTCAAAACGGCATCAATATATTCTTTCTAATCTACGTCGATGATTTACTTGTCACAGGGAACGATCAAACTCTCATTCAAACTCTTCTTACAGATATCCGATCTACCTTCGCCTTGAAAAACTTGGGAGAAATCTCCCTATTTCTCGGGATACAGGTCTCGAAAACCAGCCAAGGATACTTCCTCTCACAAACGCATTATGCCAGCAAGTTACTACAGGACGCTGGGTTCACAGACTGTAAATCCTCACCAACTCCTATCACGCCTAACTCCAAAGAGCAGCTGACGAACAATCAACCCTTCACCGATCCATCTCTCTACCGTCGTCTTGCTGGATCGCTCCAATATTTGACTATCACTCGTCCGGACATTGCGTTTGCAACAAATAGAGTATGCCAACAAATGCAACAACCTTCGGTTCAAGACTTCCAAGCTCTACAACGAATACTCCGGTATATCAAAGGGACGCTATCGTATGGACTGCCGCTAATCGCCGGACCACTGCAACTTCAAACCTTTGCCGATGCGGACTGGGCGTCGGATCACATGGACAGGAAATCCACATCAGGTTTTTGCTCTTTTATCGGACCAAATCTAGTCTCCTGGACCGTAAAAAAGCAGGCCACTGTGGCTAAATCTTCCACCGAAGCCGAGTATCACTCTCTCTCAGCCGCGTCATCTGATGTCATTTGGCTTCGTAGATTACTTTCCGAACTCTACGCAACTCAGCAATCTCCGACGCCACTTCATTGTGATAACATCTCTGCCATTGCACTTGCCAAGAATCCTGTCTTCCATGCTCGCACAAAGCATATTGAAATCGATTACCACTTCATCCGGCAACACATCAACAACGACAACCTCATCATCAAGCATATTTCATCCAAGGAGCAAGTGGCTGACATCCTTACAAAGCCATTTTCTACAGCTCGCTTCCACGAACTCCGCTCCAAATTAACCATTCAAAATCAGAATGATTAATTTGCGGGAGGATGTTAAGGAAATACATTCTGATGTAACCTTTATTAAGCTCTTATTTACTGTTATACCATTTACCTTTTCTATATATTTGCTCCTGTACGCAACTCTAAGGTCAATATAATATCATTTCTACCTTTTTCCTCTGTCTCTGTTGCTCTGTCATGGTTCTTGCCCGTGAGCTCTACCTTCTTGTATTCTCGTTCTGTCAGATTTAAGATGGGCTTAATTTTATAAATTAGTTTTCATTCTTATTTAAGATGGTCATAACTTATTCAATATGATTCCATCTCATTTCATAAAAATAATAATAATAATAATTGTATTTCATCTAATTATAAAGTTTATTGATTTGATCATAAGATGAATTGATTATTTTTTTATTCCTAAGTAAAATTATTTGTTGTGAAATTATGATATCTTTATTTTTGCATGTTATTTTATCTCCTATTTTTCTTTTTTTTTTCCCTTGACCACCCT